TAAACGTAGGTGTTCCGGTGCGGGATTCGTCAGCACCACCGTCTAGTTGTCTAAAAACCTCCCGATACTGTCTCCATTATACATATCACACACATCTGAATTCAGACTGTGTGCCAAACAAACTACGGTACAATAATCATCAAAATACATTTCATCTGGGAGCCGGTGTCCAATGCTTTGAATCAAACGCCCTTCGGACGGGGTCAAGTGTCTATGGCGTACAGTACACCTCGATGCTACAAGCAGGCTGGTTAGGGTGTGGTTCGTACATATCTCGTTGGATGGTTTAAAATCAGGGATTTTAACCAACCCAAGTAAACTGCCAGGGTTCAACAACCCAGTTACAGCCACCAAAAAAACGCTTTTTGCTCACTCATTTTGGTGGGAAAATACCTCTAACCCGGGAATGCAGTGAGTAAGGCTGGGTAGTAAGAACATTTCGCGAGGTGCAAGCGAGGAGTGACCGCCCACAACCACAGGATCATCGTAACAGGTGGCTAGATACACTGAGATATCGTCGAAATCAGTGGCATTTGTGTATCCCCTCAGTATTCATGCAACATTTGTCTTGTAACGTCTTTATCTTCTCTCTGACTTCCTTCTTAACATTTCCACCTGGCTTGTACTCTCTTATCAAAATAGGCAGACATGAAACCACCAGAACCGGCGCACCGGAGAGAGGTCACTTGTTGAGAAACCTGAAACTGAATTGAAAAACCATAAACCACCTCACCCGACAATGCTGACGCCTTCGTAGGCGTTTCCTTGGATCGCATGGGTGCTACTGGAATAAACGTTCGTCGTGATCTCTTCAGATGTTATGTATGTTTCGTACCTACCAAACAGTGAGAGTAGTGGGACGGAACGCCTTCATGTAGAGAACAAATCAACATGATTCGCAAAACACCGCAGGCGCTTGGTGGCTAAAGAAAGCAACCTCCCGAGCAAACAAAAACGTGTCTTTCGTAGTGTGTCGCTAAGTATCGACAGTGCGCGATGCCATTAGCATCAGTCAGCATAACAAGTGAACATTGCAATAGGTTTTCCTTGAGAAGTCAATGACCTCGACAGTTCAATTGTACCTAAATGACATCAAAGCGTCCAAACGATGGTTGCAGTATTTCGTATGATATATATATATATATATATATATATATGTATAAATATAGATAACACTTACCTATACAGATACAGCGCCAAATAACCATGGGCGAACGAAGAAAAGCGGGGAAACTACAACAGTCAACTTCGGGCAGTAACAAATTTTTTTTCGTTTCTTCATTGTACACCATTTTGAGGCTCATAGTTTTTGGTTATTTTTGCGATTGCAAACAAGAGAGGATGCATTCGCACCACAGACTTTGGTTCGATGCTATATCCCGCAGTCTCCAGCCAAAGACAATTTGAATCTTTGGGGCCCAAGCCGGGGAATCGTATGACGATGCTGTGAAATTCTTTTACTTAAAAGTAGACTATCCGGCCCTAGCACCCGTTGTCTAAATTCAACGTTATTCACGCGGGCGATCTTGTGCAGACAACGGCAGTCGAAGACTGATAGTCGCTGGACGTGGTCTGCTCGGAGGCCGGGTTTCCCAGGCACAGAGCAACACGGTGCGTACCGTTGCGCAATACACAAGTTCATTTAGTGAAAGGAATATGTCACGCCGGCGCAGATTATTTAACCCTACTCTAGCTTGGATCCTGCGTTCTGAGATCTAAGCACACACTCCTCTGCCAATTGTTATGCAAGTCCTATGGTAGACAAAGCTTTTGACGACTTCCAAAGTGTCATTACCCAACGAAAATGCAGAAATGGGTTACTGCCAATCTTGTAACGACACTTAAACCTTGAAGGTGCAAAGAACATACCATAGCAAGTAACCTCAATTGCCAAACGATTCAAAGACTCTTGAATCGTTGGTGCGTTGTCACTCAGTGAGGCAATATAATCGGCATATTCAAAGTCTACGACGCTGTCCCCAGGAAGGAGCTCGACGCCAGTGTTCGTGACGTTTTGTAACGCGTTCTCTAGGACATCATCTTTCGCAGAGTTGAAGAGCAACGGAGAGACAAGGAAACCCTGTCGCACCCCACTGGTGAAAGGAATTCAGGGCGAGAATTCACCACAGGCCCTAATCTTCCCCGAGGTCTGGTGATAGAGCGCTTTTAGGAACGAGACATACTTCTCGGGTACCCCGTTTCTCCGAGGCCATCAATACAGTCCAAAGCCGCTACGATGTCTAAAGACACGACAATGGTTTCTCATCTGTATGCGTGGCGGAGTTCTAGCACATAACGGAGGGTGGAGATTTGATTTAAGCATCCACGGCGTGCAAGAAACCCCACCGGCTCCTCGCGGAACAAATACTCACGAAATGGGCATAACCTGCGTAATAAAACGAACGCCAGCAACTTTGGCGCTATAGGAATCAGAATTGTGTACCTGTGGTTGGAACAGGTGTTGCAACAGCCCTTCTTGTAGATGGGTGGGACAATCGATTCTCCCCATGTGTAGGGTAACCATTCAGTTTCCCAGATCTTCGAGAACAGTCTCACAAGTTCTCTTACGAGAGCATCTCCACCATCTTTAAAGAGGGCAGGTGGCACGCCGCCTGATCCAGCTGCCTTGTGGCGTTTCAGGGCTTGGAGTTCCTTTCGGATCTCCGATTGTGTGGGCGGTCCCGTGGATAGTGACCAGGGTGCTGCTTCGGGCAGTCAGCGAGGAGGGGCTGGTTGAACTGCGACGTGAATTGCTCCGCCCAGCGTTCCAATCGCCGGTAAAAGCTGTTTATTAGCATGCGACCTACTTCTTAGATTGTTTCACTAACGCACTGTCTTTTGGGGTCTGTAGCACGGTAGAGTTGGAAGAGTTGCCGGGTGTTTGAACACCTAGCCGCTGACTTTCGTGTGTACGAGCCAAACCTGCTTGTTGTCCTATACGTATTAGAGTTCTTGCGTTGAATGAAGCCAGTTTGAACGCAGAGTGACGTCGGAAGAATGGAGCGATCGGTTCCGAGACAGATGTCAAGGAGGATAGTGGCGAGCTACAACATGAACCTACGTCCGTGGAACCGTTCGGGGTGGGACAAACAGTGGAAAAATGGGGGTATCGTGTGGGGGGCGGGTGTAAGTAATGCGCGCAGATTTTGGGAGAAAACATTGCAGACGTGTAATATTCTGTGACATGCGTGTGTGTATGTCCATAAGTCCATGGTTAGTTTGTAAGCGTGGTACTACTCTCGTGTTTATTTGGTGGAGTGACCCCTCCAGAGGCGAGCGTGGATAAACGAAGGAAGCCAGATGCTCAAACAACTGGATGTGAGATTGAGCTCTCGCCTGTACCCGTTTACCTTTCATGCATGAAAAGCTATATTGTATAGCTCGTAAGCCATCACACCCCGTCAAGTTGCAGTCTTGTCGTGATGGAGTCAGTCCCCACTGTCCATGCGCTGGGCAAGTAGGGTGAAATGAACCTAAATACGACCTATGCATGCGGTCAGGTGCCAAACCTGCTCGGTAAAATCATTTCCCAGCGCTTTAGTTTATGTCTTCCTTTCTGTTTCACTCCCTTTTACTGAATACATGATACAATTTTCAGAAAGGAGGATGCGCCTAATTAAAAGGCTGCCAACAACACACGGTGAAGAAAGTGGGGCGGTTGTGGTGGGATCCGAACACTCGTCCTCCGGGGTGATAAATTGGTGACGTTATCACCTGGCTGCTCGACTGAATCAGTTCCGTTTTTCATCGTAAAAGTCGCATTATTGTGCACCTGGATTGCAGTTGATGGGTGTGTACGAAATAATCACGAACAAGCACCTTTTGGTTTTCCTAACGCTAACAGTTTTCACAGAGCGCACAAACGAATATCGACGGATGTCCAAACAAAGAGGCTCCGGCCTTCCCGCTGAGGACTACTCCTACCCCATGGTGAATCACTAGTCTGGTTTCGTGGTCTATTAGGATATATATAACACCAACTTGCGAGGATGCAACTTGATAATGCCACAACAGTAACAATACTGCTGTGTTCTCCTAGGGTGCGAACGAAATACTTTGAGGATAGACTCGGCGCTATCGGGTGGCTCATACTATCATTGGGACTCTGGATTCATCTCTCCGATTTGCAGCAGACATTAAGATCAAAAACACACGTTCAATATGCGTGTGAGACATAGATGACATCCTGAGGTTAAAAATTCAGAACATATTCACACCATATAATCATCTCCATTTAAAAAACTGACTCAGAACTGTAGCCCTAATTTCAGCAAACATTGTGTACCCCCCAATTGTTGGCCGTAAGATACACTTAAAGATGAAGATCAGTTAAGAAAGACGACTGGTACATCTTAAGGGATGGATAAGCAAAAAAACATCAATAGTCTTTCATCCAATAAGTTCACAAAATGGATGACCGGAAGCATTATTAATGGGGGCCCCAATATATTGCAATACTTTGGGTAGTTGAGAGGGTAGCTAAAAGATTATCATACACACCTCAACAAGTCATGAATTTCATACAAGTCGCACAGTTTCAGAAAAAGCAAATGTGGCGGAAACCCAATTCTCGGTCATGCGACGTCTAAAAGAAGGATATAACTTCTGTGTGAATCACTCAAACTTGTTGCATAAAAAACTACCCTTATGCATTGCGCTTACAGATCGACGAATTAAAAACAACTACGCGAAATTTATCTTCAGGGGATAGGCTGATCGAAAAGATATATTGATGTATGGCAAGCGAGTTTTCGTATTGTTAAGACAGTATTACTACAACAGCAGATCGCATTTCGGTTGACCAAACAGTGGGTTCACTACCAATCGCATGAACGGGTCAAGTGCTGAAAAAAACATGATTCTCCCATATATAAAACATAATCAATCACCAAATCTATATAAAATGGACCTTCATTCAAACGAATTCAGAACATTACGTGGTAAAAGTACTCTACTGAGAAAAACGTCATTGTGTATTCGTATGAAGTAGCAGAACAACGTTAGGCAGAGTGAAACACGGCAGCTGATAAGAAAGAAGGCAAAATTTGAGTTATTCTGTCACAGTAAGACAACGTCACAAAGGGGGAAGTCAATTATACAACTGTACATATAGTTTCAATAGCTTTGTACAAAGGTGAAAAAAGAAAAATTAGGTTGACCAAATGCATCGCATGAATAAACGTATGACTCTGTAGAAGACTGTCATCTGATCGCACTCAAACTTCTTCCATATCATCGTCATCATCTTCGTCATCTTCGTCATCATCAGGCTCACCGATGATTTCATCCGGATCTACTAAATCATCGGCAACTTCATCGCTGTGAGAGAGGCCATGAACGGTGCTAACACCCGCCACAAGTGTGCTTGCTGCGGAAATATCTTCCAGTGAACCACCGGCGACGGAACAGATTAGAGGAGGTTTGGTATCTCGATCGTGAATGTACCGATCAGTCGTAACGTAAGATCGACTGGAAACTCCAACATTGCCCGGCGAAGGTTGAGCGACCGAGGTGGGAAGCTGACGATGGCGAAGAAGCCCCCCCGGACCTCCCGGAACTACGTAACCCCGTGAAGCAGCAGCACGCGCGTAATGCTGAGTGTCTCCAGGAACAAACCCACTCGACCCCATTGAGCTTGTGCCGGGCCCCAAGCGGCCAACGTCTCCATCGTCTACCGTTCGGGAAAGATAGAGCTGACGCAATGTGCTTTCGTTTGCAGAGCTATCAAATATATTGGAATAGGACCCGCCTGAATCTATTGGTGAATGACGAAGATTTCGTAGCCCCGAACGTCCAAGACCACTGTGGTCCATGCTTCCTCCACCGACAGCTCCTGCACCGATGGGATCGCCATTCTCGTCAGTCTGACCTGCACCTTGGTTGGCTGCAGCAGCCGCAAGACGGGCCTCTACGAACAATCGTCGCTGTTGGTGTAGAGCCTCGAAATCTGGAACGATCGCCTGTCGCCGCTCGTAGATGGCTGACGAAGAAAAAACTTTCACTTTTAGATTGAAAAGACTAAGTAATTGTTAAGCTGGAGATATCTCACACATTTAGATACATAACATGGAAAATAAATACATACGCAGAAGTTCAAAAAGTATGTGGGAATCCCTAATGTGCCATATAGAGTTCCGGAGACTATGGCTAAACGTTTTCCCGTGCGTTCAATCAATAAATTGTAAGAGCAGCCTGTGGGGTCGACTCACATTAACTTGAAATGAACTGAAAACCACTAACACTTTGACAGATGTGCAATTATTCAATGTGATACAATATCCATAATGAGACTTAATAATATAATTCAGTATACATTGAAAAGAAAACGATATTTGTTACTATGATCGAACAACCGGTTCGTGATTATAAAATTTAACCGTGATCATTCATGGGGCTACGGAGATTACGAAGTTTATGGTCATAATCTAAATGGTGAACGTTTGGATTAGCCCAATCAGTTTTTCACAGGTACCAGGCAATGTTGATGTTGTTGATGTTAGTTTTACTCCGCATTTAAATGCATTCAAATAGTGGGGAATTACCGATCTCCAAAGGAGTGAGACACACCCTTCATCAACAGTGCCTGATGCCTATGAAAAACGGAATGAGATAATTCAGACATTCACCATCTTAACTGATTGAGCCATTCCCAGCCCGAAGGTCCACGGTTCGGGTTCTGACAGGGACGCAAAAGTACGCACTGCTGACGAGTCCCAAACAGTAGGAAACAGCTGTCCATTGCTCTTTGTCGTATATTACAAACATTTCCACCGCATGTATAGTTTCAATCCTACATCCTAGGCCCATTGTTCATATGCGCTAAGAAATCGTATAGATAGTAACCATACAAACTGGAGGTCTATAAATAAAACCTCACATGCTGGTTATGTGCTGAAAGATACAAGATTCTCTCATATATAGAACTTCAACGACCTTGACCGCGCGCGGTTGAAAATCTGTTGTGGATCGATAAGTTCGCATCTTTAAGTTTTATAATTTTTTTCTGTACATCATTGCTTATATCCTTAATTGTGCCCACGCAATACTAACTCTATTCCATCTTATTCCATTGCGATTTATATTTTACTAGCACCACTACTCTTTAACTATGTATTCTGCGCTCTCTGAGTCCTCCGATGAAGACACTTTACCCATGCGGGAAATCCCCATACACCATGAGGTGGCTGAAACCAGCGACTGGGCTAGCAATCAAATAGCGCTAGAAGCGGCCCTAGTCGCCATTGTCCTGCAAGGTTCGATTATACACGAACTGCGTGGAAGAGTCTCGGCACTAGATACCGATTGAGGTCACCTGACAGCGTTATTTAAGGATAACTTCCCAGCATGTGCTGCCGCAGGACAGGCGATCGCGCTATCGAAAATAAAGATATTCGACTCTGCAGCGAAACTAGAATCAGCGACCATTAGCTCCAAACGGATTATAATTTGGGGTAGTTTCCCCAAATTCAATGCTCCGGTTCAGACAACCAAAACCCTCTTGAGAAGCCTTACAGCCCCATCCCTACCCAAACCAATCGGAGCGTCATGGCTGTTGTCCAAATCTAAGAAGACCAAGGTGGGCATCCTTCAACTCGGAATCAGTAGTAGCAGACGCTCTCGCCCAAACCGAGACCCTGAAAGGGGCATGTAACCCTGTCCGGTGAGTTTCCCCCAGACAAGGCACTGCACACCTGAACTCAGCGTAAGAAAGCCCTCAAAAGAA